AGTAGGTATTGAGTGCCTACTCTGTGTCTGGAACTATTATAAATACTGAGATTACAGTGGAGTGGTGAAGAAGATGGCAAAGAGAAAATGTTATGTACATTACATTTTGGTAATACAGCAAACAAATAAATATATACATAGTATAATCTCAAGGGCAATGAAAAAAATGAAACCAGTTAAGAGGTTAGAAAGTGATAGGAGTGGTGGAGGAGAGCACACTCTTTTAGATAGGGTGGTTAGGGAAGGCTTCTGTGAGGCAGGAGCATTTGAGCCAGGATGTGAATTATGGGAAGAAATGTGCTGTGCAGATATTGAGCAGAGGAAGCAAGGTGTAGAATATGGTCATGATCAAGAGTTTGGATATTATTCTCAATGCAATGGGGAGCTACTTGAGGGTTTCTTTCTTACTTTTAATGTTTTTTAAAGAGGTAGAGTACTGTAATCTGATTTACATTTTTAAAAGATCAACTGAGTACCATATGGGGAATGCATAGACAGGAGGGTGGGAGCAGAGAGTCCAGTTAGGAGGGTATAAATGGAATCTAAAAAAGAGATGATCCTGGAGGTGAGAAATGAATCAGTTTCTGCTTCTGGTGATAACAGAATAGCTTGTATCAGAGGAACTCTTCCGCCAAGAACAAATATAAAGATTGGATAAAATACACAAAGCAACAAATTTAAGACATAAGAGAACAACCAGGGCATGATAACTCCAGTGGCCACAATCCTGGGGAGAAGGATGGTACATGAGGTAAGCCCCACATTCATCTTGGCTTTTAGCCTAAGGGCATTTGTCTGTTCCCATTATAGGTATAGAGGCTAAGCAGAAAGTGCTGAGGGGTGAGGGATAATTGTTTTAGTTTCTCTGGGCTAGAGAAACAGAAATTGGAGCTTGGAACTCCCAGTGAAACCAGGTCTTAATTGAGAGGAGAGGACTGAAGACAAATTTGCCTGAAGTTGTACGTGCAGTTTTCCTGTGAGGTGTTTGCCAACTTTTAGTCAGCTGAAGCACAGAGCAAAAGTCTTATAAACCAAGCTGAAAGCAGCAGGTAGGAGGCGAAAAAGCTGATCAAAGGTTTCACAGTCTTGTTGTGCAGAGACAGAGGTTAGAGTGCAAGGTCAAGCAAGTGGGAGGGTCACTGTAAACACTCCATGCGTTTATTTGAGACCTCAGCATGGCTGCACCTTGGGAGTAAGGGAAATTCAGATGAAGACCAGCCCAGAAAAGGCCTAAAAGTGGTGCCGTTAAATGGTGCAAGGTGATTTTAAAGTATACTGTCTGCCTATCCAGAAGAAAAATAAATCTACTGTAGAGAAAGGTAGCATTAGAGCTGCTACAAATTTCCATACGCAATGTCCAGTACTCAATCAAAAAATCACCAGACATCAGAAAACAAGATCAAATGACCAAAAGAAATATAAAAAAGGCAATTGAAACAGATGTATGGGAGATGCAGATAATAGACTTTTAAGTAATTATAATAGGTTCAAGAAAATATAAATGAGGATTAGTAATTCTAGAGAACTGGACTAAATAAGAAAATCAAAATAGAAAACTACAGAATATTCGTTCTTACCAAACATAGAACTTATACAAAAATTGATCATTTGCTGAGCTATAATTTATCTCAGTGAATTTCAAAGCGTTGAAATCATATAACATATGTTCTCTAACCACAGTAGAATTAAGCTAGAATCATTAACAAAAAGATATCTAGAAAATGTTTATATGAGTCAAAATTGAGAAGGACTTCTAAATAATTCATGGATGAAAGAAGAAACTACAATTGCAATTGAAAAATATTTGGAAAGTAATGATAATGAAAATGAACCATATAAAAACTTGTGCTTAGAGGAAAATAGGCTTAGGTAGGATTTTATGTATTTAAAAAATAAAGTTTGAAAATCAGTGATCAAAGTTTTCATCTAAAGAAGCTGTAAAAAAGAAAAAAATAATAAATGCAAAGTAGAAGGAAAGAAATAATGAGCAAAAATTCAGTTAAATTAAGACAAATGTTCACTAGAAGAAAATCAACTAAACCAAAAGTTGGTGTTTTTAAAAAGATTAATACAATTGATAAGTTTCTAGCAAGACTATTCAAGAAAAAAAGAGATTATAAATTGCCAGTATCAGGAATGAAGAATAGGCCAACCATAGACTTTACAGACATTAAAAATCCTAAAAGAGGATATTATGAATAACTTCATACCTATAAATTTGAAAATTTAGATGAAATGGGCAAATTCTTTGAAAAATGTTGCTTACAAAACTAACACAAAAAGGAAGAAAACATCTGAATATTCTGATATCTACTAAAGAAATTGAATCTATGGTTAAAAATCTTCCCCTCGGCAGGCCCATTTTTTAATCGAGTTGTCTTTTTCTTATGTATTTGTAAGAATTCTTTGTATTTTATGAATGAGAGTCTTTTGTCAGATACATATAATGCAAATATCTGTGCCCACTCTGTGATTTGTCTTTTCACTCTCTTAAATGATTACAGTTCATCTCCTGAAACAGGAGGGAAGGTAGAGTATATGGGTATAAATTTCGATTAGGTTGGTCGATTTGGTGGTGAGATGAGTTTCCTGTCTTCTAGTTGTCTATTTTTTGTTTTCTCATATAGTAAAGTAGGGATAGTATTGTAACCTAATACAGGATTCTTGGGAGGATTAAATATCTTAATGTATATAAAGCTCTTAAAACAGAGTCAAGCATATATTAATTGCATTCTAAAGAAGTGTTGACTTACTTTTACCATTATCTAACTGATAAAGTCTAAAATCTTAAACCTAAGTTTCCGGCTTTCTCAATTCATAGCTCCAACAGTCTTTAATAAGTCTGTTTATCTACTGTTCTAGTGAGCGTTCTTTTGCTGAAAGAAAAGGAACTGTTAAAATGAGCACAATTTATTATTACAGTATAACAGAGAATTCCCAAAACATCCAAGGACAGGAAACTAGGTGCAGCCCAGTGTTGTATGGACTGAAATTAATAAATCAGAAAATAAGACTTTCCTCACATTTCTTATCTAGCAATGGCACAAGTCTCCTGTGTCTTTCTCTGGAGAGCAACTTTCTCTGCTTCTGTTGGTGAAATCGTAGCCTTTTGATTCAAGCCACCACTACTAGTCTCTGTGTATTTTAGATGAAATTTCAAGAGGGAAACTTGAGACTGCTGGCCAGTAGCTTGCTTCTTCCTTCCTCTGTTCCAGTCAGCCACAGCTAATTGTATGTTTCCCTAGGCTTACTCAGCAGGAACAATGGACTGAGCACTGGACAAACTGAAAGAGATTTTGAGCTTAATGAAACTACACCCATATCATTCCTTTATTTCCCAACAGTACTGCTCCTCCTAGCCTGATAGGTTTTACCACTGTCTAGATTGACTCCTTTTTGATATGTCCTATGCAAGAGTTGGGTGAATTCACTGGAGTTGTAGACATTTCTTAAGAATGCTTTTTTTCCCTCCCTACTGGTAGTTGACCATCATAAATATTGATTAGTGTCCTTTATTCTCAATGGCCGTTGCAGTGTTTTGATTTTCTATGTAGTCAATCTGTATGGATTTTCTGGAGATTTGTGAAAGGGTTGAGTGAAAATGAAAGTAATTGAATTATAAAATTCTCACTACAAATATGATCTGTTACATTCTTTCATTCTAAACAGAGGGTCCAGAAGAAATGCTTTGGATTATAAAAAAAAATCCACTGGCTAGACTCAACTATTGAGTGATGTTACCTCTTTTCAAAAGTAAAGTTAAATTATTCACATTTAGTCAGAATCGTCTGTTGCTGTGATTTTGTTCTAGCATATGCTTCTGGGGTATTTTTGTTGTTTATTTGATTTTTCTGGTTTAAATGTTTGGTAATCGTTTTTAGAATTTTCTGGGGGCACCAAATTCAGTAACCCATGATTTGGATGCATGATAAATAATGAAATTTGGTTCATTATTAGTTGTGTAAAAGCTCTCACTGGAAGGATAGGTGGGAAATTCTCTTAAATAAGTGGTGTTGATACCCGCTTAACACAAGGTTGACATAAGGGAAGCCATATTATAGATGTACTGTAACTGTAACTTTGAATGGCCTCTGATTGACTAAGCCAGACATGCTCTGTAGTTTTTATAGCCCCTCCCAGCTTCTATAAGTTAATAACTTTGTTCTTTTGAGCTCCTTAAGAATGTGATTACCCCTTGGGCAGAGAGTCTATGCTGATAGCCATCATTACTGACAACTGAAAGATCAGGGTATACGGCATTGCTCCAGTCTCTGATGCATATCCAGTAAAACGAAAGACTATCAGGAACTAAGACCAGATGTCTGCCCCGACCTGGAGATCAGATGGATACCCCCACCAAGAGACCAGCTGCCTACGCCACCCAGAGACCAGCTCCATATATAACTGGCCTGTAGTCTTTGTTCTGGAAGATGGTTCTTTTGGACATTAGTCGACCATCTTCCCCCTTGCTAGCAAGCTGTAATAAAAAGTCCTTTCTCTCCTGCCACCTTGCCTCTTGACTGTTGGCATGTCTTGCGGTGGGCAGACGACCCCCTCCTTGGGTGGTAACAGTGTGAGACTGATTGTTTTTATTAATGAGAACATGTTTTATAAGGGAACTCCTTTTAATTGGCACGTTGATCTTGGGCATTGAAGTAGAGAGTTGTGTCTTATGATTATGTTATATGATTCAAAAGAAGTCTCTAACTCAAGTAACTCAATGTTAATGGTTCTGTCTCTTCAGAGGATAGAAAGGTAATCTGACTTGCTGTACCCTATACTTTCAGAGAAACAAAATATGTACCATATATATTATACATAATAAAAATTTACCTATTCTTATCTACTTAAATATTTTTCTTAGTCTTTGTCAACTGTTTATTTTGAATGAGTTGTTCTTTCCATATTAAAATGCTTGTATTTTTGATGACACAGTGGGCAAAATATTTTTTAACTTCTAATTTTTTCTTTCATATTTGATTCTTTCTTCTTCCTTTTAGGGTAGAGCCTGGATCAGAGTAGCACTCATGGAAAAACATTTATCTGAATACATCTCTACAGCTCTGAGAGACTTCAAAACAACCAGGTTTAAAAGTTCTTTTAATTTTCAAATATATGTTTGAAAGAGTCACCTAAAGACTTAGATATAAGAATAGAATGAAGACATTCATTTCTAAAGTCCTCAACTATTTTATTTCCTTATTTTTGTACTGCTTAGATAAATCCACTGTCTTCTCAGGAAAATATAATTTGTCAACTTCTTTCAACACTTGAAGTTTCATTCTCTCCACAGACTTTTCCCTGACCAATTTGAAGAAAAATCTAACTACGAAATTCCTATAGCATTCTTTCTCTTTCTACACTACAACATTTATTTATTTCTTTGCTTATAAAGAATATAAATGAATCATTCACTTCTTTAATTCATATATATAATTATGATTGCTCAGTTGTCTTTTTAGGGTAGTCTGTACCAATGTTGTTTTTCTTAGATTATATTAGACTTGAAGATGACATACTGTGTCATGTGAAAAACAAGACTTTACTAATTTCTTACGATGGTAGAAAAAAGGTTCATATTAAGACATCATTCTTATTGAGCTCTGGTCTACTAATCTATGTTTTAGTTATATGTTATATAACATATATAGCATATGTTTTATTACATATATGTTTAGTTATATATGTTTTAGTTATAGCTTTTGTTAAAGAAACTACTTCTCCATATCAAGAGTATTTCTAAATGAAAATATTTAATAATTTCAATACCTTAGGCTTATACTATTCAATACAGTAGCCACTAATTACATGTCGCTATGTAAATTAAAATTAGTTAAGATTAAATAACATTACAGATTCATTTCTTCAGTTGCTGTATCACATTTCAGGTGTTCAATATCTGTGTGTGGCTAATGGCTACCAAATTGGACAGCACAGATATAGAACATTTTCTTCATCACAGAAAGTTCTTATGCACAGCACTGCCTTAGACACTTCTAAATTACCATACTTATTTCTACCTTATTAATTGTATTTCTGAAGGAGAAGAAAAGAGTGACAACTATGTACCAGTTTTGATAGAGAAAATTAGGCATATGTATAAGGAAATCGTGTGTCTGGGATCTTCATTTCCATGTCCTGATGCAGTATTTGACATTTTGGATTTTGAGAAAATCTGGGCATTTATTATGACACATTCTTAGCTTTAAGTAGCTGGTACAAATTACAATATCTTTACTTAGGTGCTCTATATTTTTAGGTAATAAAGTAGTAAATTTTTCAGTTGCTAGATACAAAGAAAAATTATCATAATTATAAATTTGACCAGGATAGAAAGACTTTTAACTAAAAGAAGTATTTGTGTAAAGTAAATCTGATATATACCTATTGAATTCTTTTAAAGCAATATGATAATCTTGGGATATTTCTAAAGATAGACAGTGAGATGGTGATAAACTTTTAGACATTTGAAATGAACCTTATGAAATGAAACATTTGTTTCTTTTATTTATCATCACTAGTAAATAAGTTTAATTATGAGAGGTATTAAATATTGAAGATACTAAGGCTTTGAAAATAAAAATACTACTAGAATCTCATAGATCAAACCTAAAAATCCAAAATTAATGAAATCAAAACCAAGTTTACACAATAATCTCCTATGCAATAACGAGATTATATTAAAGTTATGATAGTCTTTTCTAAATAGAAATTAAAGCATTAATAATCTCTCTAAGTTGTTAGTCTTGTTTCTTAGTTTAGACAATTGGGTGGGGTAGAAATAATTCTTGAATAGATTATTTTTAGAATAAGTAGTTTAAATATTGAAGGGAAATGCTTTTTCTCTTGTTCTTAGGTGTTAGCCGTCCTTTTTTAAAAAAGGAAATGATTCAGCTCTAAAGAAGTCCATGAAGTAAAAATAATATTCTTGTAACAATATATAAATATGCATTATTCAAACAGAAACATGGCTTAGTATGTTTATACACACACACTCAAATATGTAATATTTATATACACACATACACAGTATTTAAATGTGAATGTAGTGGCTCTGTAATTCTCAAGAAAGGAAGTAAGTAGGGATTTGTTTCAGAATTCTCATCTTAGTGGTTAACTAAAAAAAATGCAGTTGCAAAAAGACAAGGAAGTGTTTTTTGACTATTTACACAATTTTTTTTACCGAAATCAAGCCAAAGATACTTCTTAATTGTAAATAAATTTGTTTAAAAACTTCTAGCCAAAACATATCTATTTGGAAGATTAGGTTTGTAAAATACAAGCAAACTGTTGGAAGGAATAGTTATACCTTACCTTTTGTCTGGATGCTTCCTCAATAATGAGAAATGATCTCTAATCCTTTAGGAATCTGGAGAGTATTTGAATCAAGTGATTTCTTCTTGTTCTACTCTTCACAGATAAAGAGTAATGACGTCCTTTAAAATGGTGATACAAGTGTTTACCCCAGTACAGAAGGAGGAGCTACATGAGCTAAGACAGCCAAGCTTGAAAGTACTAATCAGTGAAAATCCAAGGATAAGATTGGGTGGAGGAAGTATGGGGACAGAAACACAATACCTCCTCTTCTTGGAGTACATGACTATGGCTCCAAAGTGTTAGAGAAATTCATGTGCTCTTTTTGCTAGGGTGAAGGATGTCTTGGTGAGCAATTGAAAAAAAGCCTTTGAAGAGTTTCATGGTTTAGGGACTGGGATGTTATTGGGAAATAGCCAGAGGTAGGAAGTTGACAGAAGAGTAGAATCTAAGCTAAAAAAAAAAAAAAGTGGGAAATTGTTTTGGTAGGTTCCTGGGAAGACCTAGAATTAGAGAATTAAAGTACAGACTGAATTAGTTTGCTCAAAGTTTTAATTTCTCCCCACCCACAGATTGAAAAATAATCAGAAAAGTTAAGCTAAAAAATACAAATATGACATTTGAAACAAGACTGAAAGTATTGTGGTAAGATTTTGAAGTAACAAATACAGAAAATATAAAGTAGAGATAAAATTAACTTTATGGAGACGTGTTTATTACTTTCCAGTTGCACCACAGTATTTAATTTATAATGACAAAAGTTGCATTCAGAAGAAGTTTTAATTATCTTGATATTATAGTAGGAGTAAGAGAAGAAGTAAAGTATAAATAAAATTTTAGAAATTACTGAGCTTTCACAAAATGAAAAAAAAAAATAGTTGATAAACACTTTTCTCAATTATAGAAAAGTAGGTAGAATAGTGTTAAATTACCACCATTTCAAAAGCCAAGAAAGACTTTGGGAATTTGAATCTGTTTAAAAGTTGTACGTTATTAAGATGAAAAAGTAAACATTATTATTATTATCATCATCATCATCATCATCATCATCATCCTTATTCTTGGTGAGGAAGATTTGCCCTGAGCTAACATCCGTTGGCAGTCTTCCTCTTTTTTTTTTTTTTTTTTTTTTGCTTGAGGAAGATTAGCCAGGAGCTAATATCTATGCCAGTCTTCCTCTATTTGTATGTGGGATACCTCCACAGCATGGCTGATGAGTGGACTGTGCCTGGGACGTGAATTCACGAACCTGGGCTGCTGAAGCAGAAGCGCAGAACTTGAACCACTTGGCCATGGGGCCAGCCTCATGAAGTAAACATTATTAAAAGATGCTTGTGGACTGCTGCCTCACGGCATAAACAAAAATTACCTCAAAATGGATCAGACTTAAACGTAAAACTCGTAGAAGAAAACGTAGATGTAAAGCTTTGTGACCTTGGATTAGGCAGTAGTTTGCTAGATATGATACTGAACACATAAACAACAAAAGGAAAAATAGATAAATTGGATATAATCAAAATTAAAAACTCTGTGCTTCGAAGAACACCATTAAGAAAGTGAAAAGAGGACCCATGGAATGGGAGAAAATTTTTGCAAAGCATATGTCTGATAAGGGACTTATATCTGGAATATATATAAAGAACTCTTACAGCCCAGAAATAAAAAAAAAAATTTAAATATGGGCAAAGAATCTGAATAGACATTTTTCCAAAGAAGATCCACAAATGACCAGTAAACATGTGATAGATGTTTAACATCATTAGCCATCAGGGAAATGCAAATCAAAACCACAAGATACCACTGCACACCCATTAGGATAGCTGCAGTCAAAAGAATATATAATAACAAGTGTTGACAAGGATGTGGAAAAATTGGAACCATCATACATTGATGGTGGGAAAGTAAAATGATGCAGCCACTTTGAAAAACAGTCTGGCAGTTCCTCACAAGGTTAAACATAGAGTTACCGTATGACCCAGTGACCCAGCACATGACTCCTAGATATGTATATATATATTTCCAAGAGAATTATAAAATATGTTCACAAAAAATGAGTACACAAATGTTCATAGCAGCATTATTCCTAATAGCCAAAAAGTGGAAACAACCCAAATGTCCATCAACTGATGAACGAATTAGCAAAATGTATATTCCATAAGGTGGAATGTTATTCAGTCATGAAAAGAAATGAAGTACTTCTGCAGCTGCTCCTGGTGTTTGCTTGTGTGCTGGTTCTGAGGGACCTGGTACCTCTTTTGTGAAGTGGTAACTGAGGAGACTCTGCAGCTCACCATGGCTGATGAAAAGCCCAAGGAGTCAAGACTGAGAACAACAATCATTAATTTGAAGGTGGTGGGGCAGGATGGTTCTGTGGTGCCGTGTAAGATTAAGAGGTATCCATGGCTTAGTAAATGAAAGCCTATTGTGAACGACAGGGTTTGTCAATGAGGCAGATCGGATTCCCATTTGAACAGCAGCCAATCAATAAAACAGACTCACCTACACAGTTGGAAATGGAGGATGAAGATACAATTGATGTGTTCCAGCAGCAGACAGAAGGTGTCTACTAGAGAGGGAAACTGCTACTTTACTTGGAACTCTGTTCCTACAGACCAAGAGTACATTCTCAGTTGGAAAACTGCAATTTGGTTCCACCACATCCTAACTACTACAGTATAGTTTTGTCTATTCTTTGATTTTCCCCTCCCTTGTTTCTTTATTGTACATAAAGTAACTGATGTATGTGCACAAGCATATTGCTTTTCTTTTTTT